GCTTCTTGCAAAACCACTACCCCGAGAGACTTGGTCGGTCTCTTGTGATCAACGGTTAGTGATTCCATGTTTCAAGCAATGACAAAGTTACTAATTTTCTATCATAGTGCCATTCGTCATCTGGGGATTCTTCAAATTGATCACGCCCTTGATTGACCCGAATACTCGACAGAAGCTCAAGTTCAATGAGGACCTGCGTCAACATGTCCCGCCTAGCCATCTTATGAAGTCTGTGGGTGGTGATGTCGAGTTCCGCTACGATCATGCATCCTATTGGCCTGCATTGAACAAGCTGGCTGAACAGCGCCGTGAGGCTTACCGTGAACGCTGGGTTCAGGGTGGCAAGCTGGTCGGCGAGTTCGAGAACTACCTGAAGGGTGAAAACGTCCCTAGCCTGTCTCAGACCCAGGTTGAGGCCAAGGCCAGCGAACAAGCTTGATGGGGAGAGCATATCCCTTTGCACCTATTTCGGTATATTTGTCATTTTCGGTCGCCGTTTCCTTTTTCTTCTCCATTGGTCAATAGCCGGAATTTTCTCACAGCGCTGGGGTGATTGGATTTCTTTACATATACCGCATCATCTCGATACGCCTGTTCATAGACATATTAATCTTTGTCAATAATTAAACGATAGAGCACCCAAAATAGATACCTAATTTTTCTTGAATTTTCTTTCCTACCTCGTATACACGCCAAATTTAGAGTTTTGGCTACAGAATATGCAGGGAAAAGGGTCTTAGGGGCGATTTACCGTATGTGAAAGTCTACAATTTCATGGGAATGTAAAAGTTATATAGACCACAACTGGTTGGAAGGCAAGGTATATCATTGCTGTGGCATAACGCAGTCATTTAGATGACATCCAATCTCGATAGTATTATCATCCATATTTCTTCTCTTCCATCGATACCATAATTCGGACTAACCAAGTCCTCCAACGAATTGGCTTATATCCTTCGAACATTGAATATCACCATTCAAATTCCTGTGTTGCAGTCTTAGTCAAGTTTCTTCCCCTGGCACTCTTATTAGCTTACCTCAGTATAGAGTGTTATGGATGGTCCGTCATTAAGCAACTCATTGCTAACAGCCTTCTGTGTTGTACTCAGAAGCTGGCTAGGACCACAAGCACCGACAATAACGCGGTCGTCTAATTTGGCGCTTCCAGCGGCAGCGGCCGCGATCAAGTTGCCAATGTTCGGACGCCCCGGCAAGATCTCTTTGACTGAAGAAGAAATATTGCCTGTAGGCTGTTGCTCGGCGCCTTTTTCAGGATCTCTCGTTAAAATGGCCGGAGAAGGTTCTGTAAGGATTACATCGTCCTTCGTAGATACTTTCTCTGATGAAGAACTCGGGGATGTGGATGACGATGTGCCGGACAGGTCAGTCTGACAGGTGACGTGAATGAACAGATTCACTTCTGGATGCGACTGAAGCTGTTTGAGCTCTTGGGCAAACCATTCGAGGCTCTCTATGGGACAGAGTTAGTTGATGCGAGTATATAAGCGTTGCTTCCTCGTAAACATTTAACGTACCTTGATGTCTCACCACCCAAATGAAATCAATCGACTTCACTGCCTTGTTAGACGCCTCGATCAGATCTAGTGCAATGGCGAATGTGAAGCTAGCACCGCTGCCGCCGGCGACAAGAACAACTTTCTCAAACACTTTGAAGTTCGGGATTTGACCATATGCGCCGTCTACAGAACAGCGTAGAGACCTCCCCGGGAACTCTTGGGCAGCTTTATATAAATCTCGCGTAAAGCCATCGTACACTCGAATAACGAACTCTGATGGATCCGAAGATGATAGAGTGAACGGATGGCTTTCAGCCCAGCGGATGGCGGGAACCCACAAGAATGCATGGGAACCTGGACTGCAGTGCATGCGACGGCTGAGTTTCACACGAAGGGCATTGCCGGGCAAAGCAGTGACAGTGAGGGAATTTCCAAAGAAGTTCCACAACATCTTTGCACCGCGGATGATGCGGTCCAAAGTCCAAAGACAGGCAGTGAAAATCACGATAATCACCACTGAGGTTGAGAATTTCGGACGGTGCATTCCGACTGTGATCATAATCAAAATGAACATAATTATGTGCAGCATATAGAAGACTGCAGACGGTTAGAAGTGCACACTATAGGAGAATACGAAGAAATAACCCACGTTCATAATACCGTCGCATGAAGTATGTGATGGTTGAAAAGCCAATGATTAACATGGCGCAACCTGCAATTGGGCCGACGAAAATCTCATGTTCTTTCATTTCGGCCAGGTGCCCAATCTCCGACCAGGCAGATACGTACACTATGCCATGCAGGACACTTGTGAAGATGCAGGTATAACCGGCAACCTTGTGTAGTGGGCGGAGCTTTTCGTAGGATGTGGCAGTCAATGGCGCGAGGGGCGTATTCTTCAAGGCCAAGAAGACCAAAAGTACCAAGTTGGCAACTGAAATCCTGTTTATTGATGTTGGTCAGTTTCTAGACTGTAGGAGTAGAATGTATCAAGTACACGTACCAGCCAAATCGTTTGGAGACCTATATATGCAGGAACTCGTCAGTAAAAATGTATACGAAGGCCAGAGAATGAACGAGGTCAGCTCACATCGACGAGTTTTGTAAGGTCTATATTGGTCAGAGCGAGAATCAAGTTGATAGCCCAGTAGATGATATACAGGAGGGACCGATCTGTCCTTAATCCCAACGTTGAACTAGAAAGGAAGCATCGAGCTTGTCTGTCACATTCAGATGATCAGTATTGTCCTTGGCTGATATTAGCAATAAACATACTTATACTTCCTAGTAAACGTAGGATAATTCTTCCTTCGACCATAATGAAAGTGAACCACACTTGACCAGTGGTGTATAGCAAAAAGAACCATAATTGCACCGATGGCAATGGCAAAATACTTCACGCTCCACTTATTGTTAGACAGGCGCAATGCCTTCATAGCAGCCTTTGCGGCCTTTGCAGCTTTGGGGTCACTCATCCTGGCTGCTGCTGACAGACTCAACGTGCAATCTCGAAAAGAAAACCTCTGGGATCAACACAACCTGACCGGGAAGGTCAATTATTAATTTCACTTCCTTCCATTGGAACCGCGCCGGAGAAAACCGTGCCAAGAGCATGAACTAGAGACTCCACTGTCTTCAGGATGCGTATGTACTCGGAAGTAGCGTGCCAAGAGGATGAACTGGAGTCCACTGTCTTCAGGATGTGCACTCGGCTTACTTCCGTGTCTCATATGGTGCGGATTAGACCAAGCGGAGCATTTCCCATATTGTGAAGCGCCGGGAACTATTTCCCCACGCCAAATTAGGAAATGTAATCAGAGTATCACCTGCGTATATACGTAGGTGGAACAGGGATACAGGAAATGGTTGGACGAGCGTTGTTTTTTTTCACCAACCGCAAACAACCATAAAAAGCCATTTAATGACTGTTCTTCAGAGATTCTTCAATGATTCCCCAGCGGTTCCCCAGCGGTTCTTCAGCGGTTCTTCAGCGGACGTTTAATGGATTTTTGACGGACGTTTAGCGGTTGTTTAGTTGTAAATAGCTTGCTAATAGGCCGGTTAAAAACAAATGGCTAATTAATAGTTGCGACATATTCAACGGTTGTTCAACCGCTTTCTGGACCCCTACTCCTGCCATAATGTACTAGTATGTAGTGATTGTCCTCGCGTTCTGATAGGGCCGCAATGGAAGATACTCCTCGGCCATTGGGTAAGCATCATGGGCATTATACAACATACGGAGTCCGCGTTCCTTTTCGGTCCTTCTGGAAGATCTGATGGAGAAAATGATATAACACTTTCAGGGACGAACAGAAAGTATGAGTCACATGGACTGTAAAATCCCTGCACGGAATTTTTCACCGCACATTGCATTTGAGGGTACTCTAGTATTCTGGATAACGAAAAAGTCTAATCAATCAGATAAACCTTAAGTTATTCCAAATCTGATTAAAATTTCCTCCAATAATCCCCGGGGTCAGTTTCCGCCATGTAGAGTTTGGTGGCGCTCAATGTGAGACAAATGTCAGCAGCATAGGGCCCTATGAGAATATGGCATCTGCACACAGAAGGCCATTCATCTGCTATAAATTGGTGGCTGACGGTCCAACAAGGCCAAAAATTACATAATAAGGTAACTGGGCCCCGGGATAATGCTTCCAGTACTGCTCAATTCCTTGGGGTATAAGGTATAGCGTTGATCCTCTATGCAGCCAAGAAAGCTCGACAATGTACCTGGGCGTGCTAATCCAGGACTTTCTAAGGTTACCGGTGGACATTAAGGGTCCAAAGATTGACAAACTTTTTCATTCGTTCCAAGGTTTCCTAATCGGTTGAGCGGGTCCCCTTCCAACCTTGGAAGGCTAGTATACACCTGGGCAGAGCTAAGCCACTGTATTATGATAAGATTATCAATCAGTTAAATACTACGGAGTACCTACTCCGTAGTAGTCCACGGGAACGGTACTAGTGCGGGTCAGAAAGTGCTACAATCTATGTCGTTTCCATGTAGCCCCTCTGGACTCGTTCAGACTTCTCACCGAACAAGGTATCCCGATCGGGCTAATCAAGTCATGAGAGAAGAATTCAGATTCCTGTAGCGCGTTTAGCGATATTATCTACTAAGAAGCCTTGCATTACAGAGAAAACCCATGCAGAATTACCTTTTGAACCTGTGGAACCTATTTTGGGGCAGTGCTCCGGTGGGGAAATAGGCGTCCACTCCACGGCCACGAGACACCAAGACCTCGGGAGACCCTGCATGAAAGCTTGGTACCGCTTGGCGGAAACGGTACAAGTAAATTACTGCGGAGTACGGAGTAGAACATGGAATTTTTCAATTTACAAAAATATCAAATTTCTCGGAAGCTTCTCATTTCCTCGACCCGCTTTCCAGTGGCCCTCTCGCTGGAAGACCCTCCTCTCGCCCATATAAACCCCGGTCCACATTGAAACAGACCGATCCAGCTCGACTGACTAAACCTAAAGAGCCAAAACACCAGTTTCTGCACGCTTCTCAGAAACGGGAACTGTTGTTTCAACGGGTGCTACCGGATCTTCATAGGGACGGCGCAGAATAAAGGCTTTGGCTTTGGCCTTGGCCTTTGCGACGCTGTTCATGGCCGGGTCAATGACAGGAATAGCTCCACGCTTCTCACGGTAGAACATCAGCCCATAGCCAATCATGACACATATCCAGTATAAGTTGTAAGAGATCACAGAGCCATAGTCGGCGGAATTGGTCCAACCAAGAAGCGCGTTGAAGATGCCCCAACCGCCGCCACCTGCGATAAGCGGACTACAACAATTGACGTGCCAGACACTCTGTCGGATGTCGTAGGATCCGGCACCAGAGCCCGTCTCCGCCGCGTCGCCTCCGATAGCGTGGTTCCAGGTGTTGTTCTCCAAGTACCAGACACCACGCGAGAAAAGACCAGCGGCAACGAGGTAGAGGAAGCAAGTGGAAATAATCAAGAATATCTGCATCGAGGTCTGTCGTCCGCCTCTATGGGTATGTTAGCTCTGTATCATTATTCAAGGCATTGAATCGGCATACCGGTAGATAATATAGCCCACTGCGATACCGGCCAAAAGGCCGCAAAAGACGGCCAAGGGGAAGGAACTGGCAGGAAGCCCTAATCCAACGCCACCAACATACACAACGGCCTCGAGACCCTCACGGAGAATCGTGATAAATGGCAGGATGAACATAGCATATTTCTCCAACCATCTCTTGACACGACCCTTCCCTGTCTCGTTAGGATCGTGCTCGTGTTCGAGAGCCTTGGCGAGCTTGACACGCCATTTGTCTTGAAGTTTAGACACGCGCAGAAGGGCAGCGCCCATAATAGTGATTATTATCGATGAGATAATTCCCAAAACACCCTCCCAAATGTCCTCAGTGCTGGAGAAAGTGTCTGTTCCGAGGCCATAAAAGGCACCAATCATGCCTGACCCGACTGCGAGACAAACAAATAGGCCTAAGCCACATCCTAGCCAGACCTGTTTCCTATTTAGCTTGCAAAATTGCAAAGGATTGTAAGAGATGGTCGCATACTTGTTTCACTAGCCTTTTATACGTCGGGCGATCACTGTCGTAGAGCGATTGCTTCAAGAAAGCCAGTAGAACTGACACAACCACCGTCGTCTCGAGACATTCTCGAAAGCAAATGAAAAACACTGATCGAGCCGGGTTAATAAGTAGTTATGTCTTCCAAAAAAGTAGGCATGAACTATACCGGTGACAGCGAAAACCTGGTTATTCCCCATGATGCTTGAGATGAGTGTGGCAGGTCCCCAAGACTCAAAGAAGAAGAGATTCAAAGAACAAAGTCATTGAAAGCAAATGAGCACCCGGCCCCTTGTACGTAGCCCCGCCAGTTACTAAAGTATACTTAGGTACTTGGTATCGTTGGGAATTCCAAATTGTAAAATTACGCGGGCTACAAAAACCGCTTTGACTTTCAGCGACCCACTCGTATTGAGCTTAGCCTTTTGGTATTGAGCTTAGTTTTTCGAAAATCCTCCGTATCAGAAGCTTCTTTTTTGAGCGTCTGGGATTATGATTCGCGATAGTCGTTTAAAACATATCCACCTGGCCACTGCCACATGTCCAAGGTCCAGGTCCTGCCACCTGAGTTCTGTTGAACTGGAAAGATAACGCGAGAGTGGTCATGCCATATTTCTCAATTTGGCAGGTGAGCACAAGTACGTGAAAATCCGATTCGCCTACTGAAATTAGGCGGAAACTATGTGGCCCAATGACTGTGTCTCCCATGGTATACCTCGACCCAAAACCAATGGAAAATTGGCAATCTCCCACGGGTTCCATCTGATTAAGATGAAAGAAGCTTCCTTGGAAGGTTTAATTAAGAAGATCGGGAAGGATTAACTTTACGCTTATCAATCTTGTATTGCGCTAGGAATGTTCCAAGATTCTGTTCACAAGCTCATACTCTTTTTGTTCGCCCCCTCTCTTTATCGGTAAACAGGAAATCCTCCTACTTCCTCCCTGGCCAAACGTCAAAGCATGGCTATATATCATGGAATGCTGATCCGCCTTACGGCAGTGCTACTTTTTGTCCAGTACTGTCAAGCGAAGACAGTGAAGTTGGATTTCAATGTCACATGGGTCAATGCGAATCCTGATGGACTCCATGAGCGCAAGGTGGTGGGCATCAACGGCCAGTGGCCGCTACCTGTTATTGAGGTGGACAAGGGAGATCGCCTGATTGTCAATATGTATAACGGGCTTGGGGACAAGGAGACCTCCATTCATTGGCATGGCATGTTCCAAAATGGCACCAATGATATGGATGGTCCGTCAATGGTTACTCAATGCCCAGTCCCTCCTGGTGCCTCGATTACCTACAACTTCACTATCCCTCAGAATGGTACTTACTGGTACCATTGCCATACCGACTCATGCTACCCGGACGGCTATCGACAAGCTTTGATTGTGCACGACGATCAGGCGTATTTCAACGATATGTACGATCATGAACTTACCGTTACGATGAGTGACTGGTACCATGATCTTATCGAGGATATCCCCTTCATTCGTACTGAAAATCCAACGGGTGCTGAGCCTGTTCCGGATTCCTTCCTGTTCAATGACACTTTAAACACCAACATTCCCGTTGAAGCCGGAAAGACCTACTTGATGCGATTGATCAATATCGGTGCCTTTGTGGCGCAGTACTTCTACATTGAAGACCACACTTTCCGCATTGTCGAAATCGATGGAGTATACGTCGATGAGCAAGAGGCCGATACTCTTTATATCGCCGTTGCGCAACGTTACTCCATCTTGGTCACTATGAAAAATTCCACGGACAAAAACTATCCCATCGTGACCGTTGCCGACTCGCTTCTGCTGGATGTGATTTCGCCTTCTCTCCAGCTCAACCAAACCAATTGGCTCGAGTACAATAGCAACGCGGCGCATCCACAAGCTGCAATGAAGGTGGAAGTTTCCTCCGACCTTGTCCCATATGATGACATGAAACTCGTTCCTCACGACCGGATGGAGCTTCTCACAGAGCCCGATATGACTATTGAGGTCGATGTCATTATGGATAATCTGAATGACGGCGCGGGCTATGCGTTCTTCAACAATATATCCTACACGAGGCCGAAGGTTCCAACATTATACTCGGTCCTCACATCTGGGGATTACGCCACGAACGCGCAGGTCTACGGAGAATACACAAACCCGTTCGTTCTCGGCCACAACGCGGTCGTCGAGGTTATCCTCAATAACCTGGACGGTGGTTCGCACCCCTTCCACCTGCACGGACACAACTTCCAGCTCGTCAGTCGCACTCCCTCATATGGTCCTTCTTTCCAGGACTTCGCCGACGGTGACCCCGTCCCTTTCAATGCCACCGAGAACCCCTCTAGTAGCTTCCCGAAATACCCTGCTCGCCGGGATACCTTCGTCGCGCCACCACAGGGTAACTTTGTTATCCGTTTTGTCGCCGATAACCCTGGTGTTTGGTTGTTCCACTGCCACATTGACTGGCATATGTCGCAGGGACTGGCAATGTCATTTATTGAAGCCCCGAAGCAGATTCAGGAGCAATTGTCGCTGACAGAGAGCGATATTAACATCTGCAAGGCTGGCAACCGCTCATACGAGGGTAATGCTGCCGCTAACATGGAAGACCTGCTCGACCTTACTGGTCAGAACAAGCAGCTTCCGTGGTTACCTGCCGGGTTTACAGCGAGGGGAATTGTTGCAATGGTTTTCTCGTGTGTGTCCGCTTTCCTGGGCATGGCGTTCATTGCCGTCTACGGTATCTCAGGAATCCAATCCAAGGAGGAGACTGCTGTGGTTACGGAGCGTGATGGGCTATGAGTTTTGGATTTTTGCTGTACGTAGAATATATATTTGTCTTGCCTAGTGGGTAAAAATTTGCATTCTCCTTGAAATCAATCTCTTGGTTGTCAACCCTTCCCTGCTTTCTCCAACTCTAATACCTGTCTCGCGTTCCTCCTCCACGATTTCCCGTTTCAGGTAGTGGCACATCATGTCTTACCTCTAAGCAAGTCTGTATCCTCCAAGCCTCGAACAATAAGTTGGCTTTAAGTACGAATTCCCCACAGGGAGGTTACCGGAGGAGAGGGGACAAGACGTCTGGCCGTAGCTAAAGAAACCTCTCTTTGTCTCCAATATCGACTCTAAAATTGCACCTACAGAGTAAAGATGGAGGCGTTCCGAAGATTGTGTCTAGATCTAGGCAACGAGAGGAAAATTGGAGTGCAAATATGTTGACTAGGAGAATTGTATATGTTGCACGGAAATTTGATATTTGGAATACTCTGGAATGAAGGACATATATCGATCCCTCAAGAACGCTGCAAGCTAAGCTGCCATGACTTGCCCAGAGCTCACATCCACACTGAATGGTCTCAGTAATCTCACTTGATCACCTGGACGGCACGGTACCCACATGTCCAAAATTTACTTCCTGACTGAAAACCAGTGAAGGGCGACTCGGTATTTCTCCTAATCTCGACCTTCGGCCCTCGATCCTACTTCCCACGCTTGGCCAGTGGCGCTAAGAAGTATGACATCGCATTTCTGGATGTATTTGACAAAAGAGAACCAACTCAATAAGTTTTATACCTCGGACTTCATTTTCGTAAATTCAACTAGATGACTTGTTTGACACTGGTACCTCCTACGGAGCCCGAGCCCGATTCGGCCCCAGCGGAATTATGCAATCTTGGAAGCTTTCTGCCATCTTAATCACTGGTATGTGGGTCGCTTTAATGAGCAGAAGACTTACACTAGACAGTGCCTAGGGAGGAGCATAAAGGGTTATGTCGATTGGGCTACAGCATTGGCTACAATGTCGCGTTGGAGGCGAACCCTCTCGATGGCACCTTGGATTGTGGCGATGTCCTGGTTACACCGTATGTTGCTGAGCCTCGACTTGAACGCAGTAAAGATCTTGAAAGAAAAGCGAGAAGCTGACTAGTTATCACGTCCTTGATACGTGATCCCACCATCGCGCAGCAGCAGCAGCAGAGCATCGTAAGGCCTATGGTCCTCTCCCGTGACGGTTATTCACTTTGATAGTCACGACTTTGCTGTGAAGAGGGTCAGCCGAACACCAAGTAGCGGACTACTTTAATCGCTCTAGCTACTGGTATCCTACGGAGTAGAAGATTGGAGGGTTGTCCATGCGACGATCATCCGTGGCCTTGGTGGGCTGGGCTTTGTGTTGTGGATATGATCAAGGTGGCACCGGCTTACGATCCCACGAGGTGTCGATGTACGTGTTTTCTTTGCATGCCTATTTCAAAGACCCTAAGAGAGTGGCTCGGTCTTCGTTGTAGGGCTGGCACAGATATTGTACTTATAGTATGGGTCCATTGTCTGCTCTAAGGGGGCGGATATTGACGCCCATAGTACAATGATTTAAGAATGGACGGAAACCAAAGGATTTGAAACACCCATGTCAGGTTGTAAACAATGAAATTAGTTTGGTGCTTATCCGCGGGCGTTAGGGTTCGGGTTCTGGCATATGCAATGCAATGCAATCAATGAATTTCATTAGCCCATAAATTGAAAAAAAAAAAAGCCATCGTCGATCCTTCAACGGTTTGTCTGATGATAGTGGGCCTCTTTTCCAATTCAATCCAGGAATCAAAGTCAAAAAGACACAAATGTGAGATATTCGTATCCCACGTTTCAGCGCAATCTCCTGAATGAAAAAGAGGAGTCTCGATATCTCGGGTACGGGATGGAGTAGGGCCAATCGGACGAAGTAGAATACCCCTGAATTCGCCAGCTGAATAGTTCAAGTTAAGACATATTACTTTGCAGGACACCGTCTACGGAGTACTGAGTATAACCGTCTAACAGAAGGGCATCAAGCGATGCCCCGACTCAAAGGCCTCCGCACCGTCAATTGGAGTGGAACCCGGTTCCAAGAGAAACTACCGGATTGGCTTGGCTGGCCCGTTCTTGGACCCGATTAGGCCCCATCTGGAAGTGAACACGCAGCGATCTGCAAAAGGGCCAGAAGATGGGCAATTGGGAGAGAGGGAAAAATGAGCTCGGATACGGAATATGATATGTACTAGTTCCTTTCAGCTCCCCCAATGTACCCTGCTTTGAAGCTAAAAAAAAACCTGAAACGAACGGGCAACGTGGAGGATCGAGACATTTTTAATTTATTTTAGCATTGAGGCCATCGGTAATCAATAATATAAACCATCAGACTATTGAACCATGTGGTCGGAGTATTTCGAAAGGG